CCCCCCCCCCCCTCTTCAGGTTCTCATCGGCAGCCTTTTTCTTAAGCCCCCTCTACACTGGATGGCATCCTTTCTGCGTCCCTTAGTACGACCCTGGTTGAGAGTAAAAAAACTATAATACTTTACATGCTGACAACTGTCCGATCATTGAGCATTCATTTTGCACCCAAAGCAATTCCTGTGCCTCCTTTTATAACTACAGTGATGCCAGTTTCGTGGTTGCACAAAGTACGCAGAAAGGATGCTGTCCAGTGTGAAGGGGGTTTTCCTGGCACTTGAACCTGTACTGAGTGACTTTTGTGACCTTGGTGTTAAAAGACCTTTCCTCAGTCATATCTTCAGTGACCACAGCCATCATGTCACAGCAGCACAAATGAACTCTCCTCTGTGTGTGTATTAACTTAAATGGGGTTTCTGTTCAAAGCATATTTGTTGACAATTCTCCATAGTGAAAAGTGCAACAATAGCTTACAAAATCGAGGGAACATTTGGAGCTATGATCTTGGCTGTATCCATCTTTGCTCAGTCATCCTATTTATGTCTGATATTGTCTACCTGAAATGCTTGCTAAGTCTGGTAGTGGTAATACTTAACAAGTCCCTGTAGCTATATTTTAATGTATCTCTCAATGAAATATTTTTATCCCCTGAGTTGCAACCCTGGCCTTCAGTATGGCTCTGTTTCTGTAAACCACTTTATTTCAGCTTGGATATCTTAGCTATTGCACCTATATGTTTGCTTAACCCTATACCTCATTTCATTTAAAACAAAATTTGGCCTTAACATTAGAACTGAATTTTAAATCTTCTTCAATCTAGAATACATGTACAGTAGAAGACCAAGGAATATCAACTGTCAGTCTGAAAAATAAGCCATTTCTAGCTCTCTGCAGAACAGGCCCTCAATCCCCATTTAGCACCTTCTGTTCTATCCTCGGTCTAGGCTATCTTGAATTTTTGGTCCTGCAGTGAAAGACCAATTTTCCTCTTCAGTTCCTCGTTACTTTTTCCACAGGGCCCTGCACGTGCATAACAAACGTGGCCTGGCTGGTCAATATCAGTCTGGGGTGTAGCCAGGCATATGATCTCTTGTCAATACAGGCAAAGAAATACCACTGTGTACCAGGGGCTGGTGACTGGGGCTTGTTGGAAGGAAATATTGTGGCATTTGTTTAGCAGCGTGGAGTTAATTGTTGGGGTGTGCGGTCTGTGTGTTCACCCTGGGGCTCATAGGGGTTAGTGGAAACACCCTGGGGCTCATAGGGGATAGTGGAACGCCCTGGGATTAGTAAAAACAGTCTTGGGCTCAAAGGGGTTAGTGAAACACCCTGGGGCTCGTAGGGGTGAATGAAAACACCCTGGGGCTCATAGGGGTGAATGAAAACACCCTGGGGCGCATGGGGGTAAGTGAGAACACCTTAGGCTTTAGTGACAGATCTTGATTATAGGGCTATAATTAAAGTTTGGGGGGCTAAGAAAAAAGTCCATTGGCTATTTTATGTTTACTTTCTTAAAATTTGTGGCCCTAAAGGCTCTTTGGAAAAGGTTGGGGTACATTTAGGTTGTATCAAGTTTTTGCCTCTCTTGGTGGAGGTTGGTATAAATTTTATGCATTTGAAAGTTTGTGCTTAAACAGTTTTCTACAAATGCAACACTTGAATAAATTTTGATTTAGCATCTTTTCTGGCTTCATCAGGTTCTGCCACTTCACTCTCTTCCTAATCTGAACTTATCCCTGGGGAACTCTGACAAGAGTAAATATTCTGTTATTTATTCAGGTCTCTCAAGGTTAAGTGGTCTCATTTTAGATGCCTAACATTACACATGTCAAATATTTGTGTACGCCAAACATCTCATTTGCCCTAAGTAAACAGTCTGCCATGCCACCCCCCTCCCCTCCCAAATCCTACCCCCACCTGCCTGCCCCCTTCTGGAGCCCCCGCTACGAGAAAAACCTTTTCTCCTGTGCTAGAAGCCAGGTCTTTCAAGTTCAGACGCTCTATTTTGGTAACCTATTGAATCAAGGTATGTATGTTCATGCTGCACTGCTCAGAGCATTTGTCTGCACTTAAAGCCTCCACGGCTGAAGGATTTGCCATGTTCTTTTTACACAGAGTGCATTTAGCAACAAGGGGTCTAGACCAGTGCTTGGAAATGGGTGAGTTGCTTTATATAGATTAATACAGATTAATATGGATTAATCCCATAAAAATGGCAATGTCGATGGATGTAGTGGTTGGGACATTTAGCTGTACTTAACGACTCTTGAAGCTGACAGTTGTCACGTTGGGTCTGGTCTGAGGAATTTGATGGATAGATTATTGCCCTCTTCAATATCAGGTGGTGAGAGATGTAACATTGGGTTCACAAAGTTTGATATAATAATTCATATAGCCTGATATGGTTGAAGGCTATTAGACTTGCCCACTACACTTAAACTTAATTCTGCAATCTTTCAATGTCCATACACAATTATTTTTGTTAAAACTTGTGGTCAGTGGTCATTGCAGTTGACCAATTACAGTAAGTCCAGGCCTGTCAAGGGCCTACTCACATTTTATAGGTGAGAGACTCTTCAGGCATCAGGTTCAGTTTTTGAAGTTTAAGTGGCCTTCATTAATAGGCATAGCATTGCACATTCACAGTCTTGGGCAGTCATGTCATTCTGACTTATTGGCTTATGTAAACCGACTCAGTGCAAAAGTTTTCTGCTTACTAGCATAAGTGTTGGTGATTGTAGGCCATTTCACAAAGAAACAATTGTATCAAGCTCAAATCAACTATGGTGTCCAGTTAGGACTTTTGTCACCTTGCAATATAGAATTCTCTGACTTGAACCCTACTTTCTTTTTCAGAACCACTTCCTTTCATATTTTTAAGATGTCTTATCTTTTTTTTTTTTTTTTTTGTATTATTTAATAAACCCTACATTCCTTTTTAGATCTGCTTAAGCGGTTCACTTCTTTCAGGTGTTACTTACAAACCATTGATTTGGGAAATATTGGGTAATCAATGTGAAAGAAATATTTGACACGGCCAATACACACCCCCATGTTGACCCTTATGAACATGGCGGTGTACATCAGAGACCACTGTCCGCATACCTCGTTTATTGATTGCCAGTAATTTATGTTACCTTTCATTTCTTTGTGACCTTTTTCCAGCATTTCCGCCTGGCCCAGAACGACTCGAGTCCGTCGACTTTGTCCAAGCATGAGAGTGAGTACACAATTTTACTGTATTTTTTAAGCGTAGCATTAGGGGTCTTCTATTTATATAATCATTTTCACAAGTCTACAAACTGGGCATTTGGGGGGGGGGGGGGTTAATGCCATCTTAATGCTTCTGAAAAAAAATAATAAGAATGGCGATCCAAATTGCTGTCAGAAGTCATCATTTTTGGCTTTTCACTTTGTCCTCTGATGGGGGAAGGGGGCATGGAAAAGTCTACTCTTTGTGGACTTGTGAAAGTGATGACAAAAGTAGATGATTATTTAATAAGACAGCTGCAGGGAAAATTAAGTGTTTTTAAGATCAGTGAGTCGTTATTGTACTGTTAAGTTAACTTGTGCTATGCTTTTGCCATTAAGAAGGAATTATTATGGTGCGTAATTACTGCTAGGTTCACCAGTGACCAGGCATCAGGATGCTTAATGATGTCTTTGCTGAACTGTTAGTTATAGGCTGTATTAAGAAAAAAATATGTTTTACTTCGGATGGAGGACCCTTGTACCCCCCCCCCCTCCCTAAATCTATCATTTTGCCACCTTTGTGTTGACAACATTATTTAAATCAAAAATTGAAGTGGTGAAACAAAGTGTTTAGCTCTACAGAGAAGGAGCTACATTAGGTGCAAGTGTCTTGACCGAAGCCAAAGATATTCTTTCAACTCTAGGAACATGTGCACATGGCTTGCTTATTTCATAAAGCCAATTAGAAAACATTCTAATAATAACTCCAGTTGTATAACGTGCGTGCGTATGTTGTGCATACCAGCGTGCACGTGCTGATCAACTGTATGTTGTTTACGAGATTGTGAAACACGAACATACTATTAAACATACATGGACATGGCAATCCTTTTTGTTATGCCTAAAGCTGTAGAGTTAACACGCAATGTACTGTCCAGTTTTGAAAGAAATAAGCTGCCAGCTTGTGGTTAACATGAGGCCTTGTTTCCAGTAAAGTTGAGACAGTTTTACTTATAGCATTACTATCTTAAAAGTTCCATATTGTTTCC